TGACCTATCTTTGAATATTCCGAACTGTGAATCTGTACGGATCGAGGCTGCCTTCGCCTCCTCTGTTAATCTAAATAAAGTGATCATTACATGCATTTACCGTTCTCCATCTTCGTCTATTCCGCATGTTCTACATAATTTAGCTGCTGTACTCGACATTATCACCGCAGAAAATAAGTAAGTTGTTTTGGTTGGTGATATCAACATTAACCTAATGGATACAGATAACAACAGCACCATAGCATATAGTGATTGTTTTCTTGGCTTCGGGCTTGAATCCTTAATTTCATCCCCTACTCAATTTTCACCCACTGGAACAAGCACGCTCATTGACCTCGCATTAAGCAATTTTTCGCCAACCCCTAGCGCAGGAGTCATTGATGTGTGCATCACTGATCATCATCCTGTTTTTGTAACTTTCGGCGTAAGTCTACCTCGCCTTAACACGTGCCATTTCACGTCAACCTTCGATCAGAAAAACTTTATCAAGGCAATTCAAGGCTCTGAGTGGTCTTCCATTAGCTCCTTAGAAAATCCTGAAGAAGCACTAGGCAACTTCTGCTCCCTATTTCTCAAAGGTGTGCATGCAAACACTAAAAGTGTTAAATGCAAGAAAATATATTGGTTTCAACGTAATCCCTGGTTAACTCAAGGCTTGTTAACTAGTATGCGGAAAAAAGATAATCACTACAGGAAAACAAAAAAACAGCCATTTAATGTGAATTTGAGACTTAGGTATAAAAAATATAGTAAGATGTTGAATAAACTGCTGAAACAATCAAAACGACTTTATTACGAAAAAGAATTCTGTAAAGCAAGAAATGACCCAAAGAAAAAATGGAAACTTTTTAATGACTTTTTAAACAGACCTCAGGTTAGTAATGTAATTGATAAAATGAGGTATAAACAGCAAATCTGTACTGAGTCCTCTGACATAGCCAAGTCTTTGAGCGATTACTTTTATGAAGTATACAATGATAGGCCCAAAGTATCCTCGTACACCCTTACCCGCTGTATCCATTCATTCTTTCTATTTCCTGTTACCATTGACGAAGTCTATTCTACAATCCTGTGTCTAAAAAACTGTAGCGCTGGACTAGACAATGTATCGGCGTTTCATTTAAAACTTGCTGCTCCAGACATCTCAGAAGTCTTAAGCAATATAATCACTGTCATTTTTAAATGTATATTGTATATTTCTGAGCTCACTGAAAAAAGCCAAGTTAATCCCAGTACACAAAAATTGTGATACGACAGCAACTACCGCCCTATTTCTATTTTGTCTTCCATCAGCAAACTTATTGAAAAATTATTTCTGAAACGTGTTAACAAGTACCTCAATAAATTTAAGCTGCTAAAGCCTTGTCAATTCGGTTTCCGGGCTGGTAGTTCTATGAATTTAGCATTGCTATCATTAACCGATTTCTTGAAAACGTCCATCGACAACGGTAATTTCACAGGGTCTGTATTTCTTGATTTCACGAAAGCCTTTGATACCATTAGTCATAATATTTCATTTAGCAAATTAGAGTCCTTGGGTATCACTGGCCCATCCTTTACCTTCATAAAAAACTACTTTCTTGATCGTGAACAATCAGTCTGCATTGGGGGCGTTAATTCTAATGTTAAAACAATTAATCAAGGGGTCCCACAGGGTTCTATTCTATGACCCTTGCTGTTTTGTATCTATATTATTGATTTGCCTGACTGCCTTGAAGATTCTAAAGTTATTCTTTGCGCTGATGATACGACCATTTCCATCTCGCACAAATCATTACCTACTCGAATGGTGTCGCTTAAACAACTTAATTTTAAACCCGCTCAAAACTCAGTTTATGGTTTTTAAAGCATCACAAAAAATGCTACCTTTCATTCCACAAGTGTTCATTGACAATCATTTCATTCCTGCGTCTAACTGTGTGTGTTTTCTGGGCGTAAAGTTAGACCCTCATTTAAAGTTCACCAATCATATTCTTTACGTCAAGCAAAAAACAACATTTGGTATAAGATCACTCATCAAATCTCGTCATTTTTTTCACTTAAAGCCTTACTGTCTTTACACTTTGCCTTCATACATAGTCACATCATCTATGGCATTACATCATGGGGAAATACATATAACATTCATATTTCGTCTGTACAGCACATTCAGAATCAGGCCATTCGCATTATTACCAACAGTTCATTTTATTCTAATGCTACCCCACTCGTTCAGGCTAACTGTATTCTTACTGTGTCTGGCTTATTTAATTTTCACTTAATCATATTGTTATATAACCAACTTAGCAAACAGCTTGTGTTTGATTTAATCGATGCTAGTTGCATCGATGCTGTACCAATAGCACTAGATTCGCCCGCACTCCCAACTTCCTTTTTCCTAAATGTAACACCAATTATGGCAAAAGGACGTCCGCCTTCGCTGTCATTAAATTGTGGAATAACCTGCCCTATACACTAAAATCATCATCATCTTTTCATGCATTCAAACGTGAACTTAAAAACTTCATCTTGCATAACTAGGTTGACAACGATGATTACTTAACGATTCTTATGTATCCGGGCATGAAATTGGTAAGTCTTTGCAAATTTAGGTTATTGCTTTATGGCGTGATTATGTTTTACTTGTATAACTTATTAATAATGTTCTTGTGTCGCATTCTGACTGCCTTTTTATGTTATTTTATGTAAGTTCACTGTTTACTTTTCACTTGTGTTGCGTATTTTACGTGCTGTTATAATTAATAATTTTATTGTTATTGTTAACCGAGGTTCCCACTGCAGTCGCTTGACTTTGGGACCCTCGTCAGCATACTATACTCTACGAATTTTGTATTTTGAATGAATGAATAAACTGAAACTGGAACTGAAACTGGAACTGAAAGAAGTGGATAGTCGTATGCACAGACTATCTCAACCATAACGCTGAGACTGACTCTCTGCACTTGCAACCGCTCTCAAAGTTGCCAAGTTCGTCATCAACAACATAAACCGCAGGCGTGGTACGCCCATTGTTGTTATTATAGACCATGGCACACCATTTACTGCACATGTAATACAATGTCTGATGCGAATTACCCGCACCCATCACAGTAAAAGTACGGCGTACCTTCCTCAAACAAATGGCCTGATAGAACGCGTCAACAGAACTCTAACGGACTTGCTTTCAGTGTATGCCGATGTCGAAGTTCTGGGATGAAATACTGCCTTACATCACATTCTCCTATAATACAGTCGTCCAAGAAACGAGACTGGCGCCATTTGACCTTGTATTCGGCCGGACAGTAACCCCTCCGCTGCATGCCATGTTACCGGTAATTGAAGAAAGCAACAATCCACCTGATTTATACGATTTCTTGCAAAGAGCCGAGGAAGCGCGACAGATTGCAAGAACAGAATACGTCGCGAACAGCGCATAGATTTCAGCCGGTACAATCAGCGACATAGTGAATCTCATTATCAGCCTGGGGACAAAATATAGATATGGACCCCTGTGCGCCATCGTGGACTCTTTGAAAAGCTTCTTTGCGGATACCTCGGCCCTTACGAGGTGGTGCATCGTATATAACCAATGTCACGAAGTTCAACCTGCTGAAAACACGAGCCAAAGACGCCGCAATGTCATGGAGGTGGTGCACGTCGTCCGCATGAAGCCCTGCTATGAAGTTAATCGGAATAAAAAGTACGTAATGCAAGCATCCTTTCATTATCTGGTGCATCGTAACAATGCGTATAGAAGGCGGGCAATGCCGTGACATATTGGCCGCATTCGAATAGAGCACCCGTCACCATGCCGCGCCGAGACCGTGGTGCGTTTGGCCAGACCCAGCTTGCACACGCCACGCTCTCGGGCTTCTGGTAAAGAGACAGAGGTGGTGAAGTATTCGGAGAATTTCTTTGGTGTTCGACAGACTCACAGTTTTCTGCGGTTACCATAACTAGTGGGAACAAGTTCGGCGTAAAAAATAAGTTTATTTTACAAGCCCGTCTACTGCCGTATCACTACAATATGTAACCTTAAAATTAGGACAATGTTATGAGGCGGACGTAAATATGCCATACATGGCTTCCATGTCATGCATATCATTCTTGAACGTGGCATTTAAATTCGTCACCTAGTGACGTCACGTGATACGAAATTTGGTATATGTGGAGCTAGCTAAACGGCCGGGAGCGCGTTATGAGCGAAGCATGAAGTCACGTTTTGCATGACACGCAAATCATGATTATCATGTTTGGTCGTGTAATTTAACCTTGCCGTGCATTCACATCACGTAATACCGATTCGGGCATATATGAATCTAGCGAAACGGCTGCGAGCGCATTGAGCGTGGCATGTAGTCATGTTCCTACATGACGTGCATGTCATGTATATCATCTTTGCATGAGTCATATACATTCGCCATTCACGCCCCGTACTACAAAATTTGCTATATGTGAAGCTAACAAAATGGCCACGAGCGCACCATGAGCCTGGCTTGTACTCATGACTTGCATAGTATGCATGTCATCATTTCCACGTTAGCGTCTGTCACTTATGTTAGCCATGCAGTCATGTCATACCATACCAGTATTGCACTGTGTTATGTGAACAAAACCAACGCAAGAGCAGCAAGACGACGAAATGTAAACCATGACATACATGACATACATAGCATGAGTTTCATCTTATGATGAGTCCCATAAGCTCTTTATAGAGTGACGCTACAACACACCCGTTTCGGTATCAATAATTTTATCGAAACGGCCAGGAGAGCTAAAAGTCATAGGCGGCCAGATAGATAGATAGATAGATAGATAGATAGATAGATAGATAGATAGATAGATAGATAGATAGATAGATACGCTGTAAGTCACCGAATATCTCTGAGGAATGCTTCGCATTTATTAATATTATCTAAGAGTTTACGCACCACAGCCACGATATGATTATGCGGCATGCCGTAATAGAAGGCTTCGGATTTGTGGACCATCTGGATGCACATCCACTGAATATGACTCGCCTTGAAGACCACGCGATCCACACGCGGTCGTCACGCTCGCCGTCATTCTCGGCAACATGACAGCCATCCTGGCTCTCTGGCACGACTTCCTCCTCGGTTCTCGGATGTGTGTGATGATCGCTCTCTGATGTTGTCCGGTCGAGGGGAACGATTCTCTGCCACGGCTTCGTCACGGACACAGTTTGGAGCTTGGAGCCCGATTCCATCGGGTTGTTGTTGATCTCTGGGAGAAAAATAAAGACGTGATTAGAGTACTAACGTAAGCTTATCAAAGAAGGAGCTTGGCTTGTAATTTCTTACAAGGGGGTAGCGAGTACCATGCTTCCATGAACAATCACGAATATTGGCAGAATGGATGCTTCTCACTACATGAAAATTACGTTTTTTGTTGTAATCGGTACCTCATAAGTGCACTTGTATTTTTACATCGAATGATATAACATAAGTAATATATATGCTGCTAGGAGAGTAAAATAACGACTGGAAGCCACAGATTGTGGTCTATGAAGCATGGCTGCCACTTAGAGCTCTTAATACAATACAGTCGTCTCAGCTATAACTAATCACTGTCATTAGTGACCACATCAACAAAATGCAAATAATGGTTTTCAAATCTGTTGAAGGTACCTCGCTTCTACGCAGAATAATCATTAATGACGTCATGGGTGTTTCCAAACTTCATAACAATTATAATTCATGGCCTTGTGGATGCTATGCAAGTATAATAGTAGAAGCTACTCCAAAAATAATCTGGAGAGGCCTATCTTTCAGTTTTCGCTGTGACCATGCTAGGCCTTCTGCGCAAACGTACTCTGTCTTTTTTAGTGGGAAATTCTTTTTATTAGGAACCACAGCGCTTGTCTAACTTCAAGCGTCTAGACATTTGGTTTCCTTATAACTTATCGCACGAAATCACAAAGCTCACTTTGAATAAAATGATCAAATCAAATGGGGCTGGCTGGTGCATTATTAAAAAAAACAATGAATGAGCTCATGATAAGTAAGGAGAGACAAGATCTGGGCTTGCATACTTATCGTGTGTTGCACGGTTTTACAATTTTTTTGCCGCTTTTTAGCTTTCTGCGGTGAACTAGTTTCACACAGATAATTTGATGACCCGACTTTTTTCATTTTTAGCTTACTTATTTTTTATGCCTAACAAAACAGAGATGAAAGAAAACTAGAAAATTTTTATCGTAGCCTTGTCGTCAATGCAACTTCACTTCATTACTACATTCATCAAAGCACCGAACCTAAGAAAGAACCTGCTAACTGTTAAATTTGCTAACCGGCACCCAGTAACTCTATCTCAAGATTAAATTTTATATTTGTTTATTCAACTGCTGAGGTTAACAGCATGCCCCCTGCATGCGAAAAAAGAATCAGTGTTCATGCTTTGGCTTTGCGTTTCCCTTGTTCAGTTTATCGGCTAATCTCTAATGTGATACAGGCAGCTAAGAGACATGAGCCTATATAAAAGTACACCATGTGCTGAAGATGTTTTTGCAATCACGGGGAAGCTCAAGGACATAGACCAAGTCACCTTGTGTGGCCGTTCAAAGAAAAAAAAACCAAAGGAGCGTGTATGGATATGAACATAGGCAACAGGCAGGGGCCTAGCTAAAGGGTGACATACCAAGCACGTGCCCCCCCCCCTCCCCCCGAAATGTTTTTCGCCATGGCTTAGAGAGCGGAATATGGCCATTGTAAGGAAGTGCCCCTCCCAAAATCCAATTGATGCCCCCCCCCCCGAAAAATATTTCTGGCTACGTGCCTGGCAACACGGTCTACCACCAGAGTTCGGGGCTCTACCTAAGAATACGACAAAGATCAAGAAGCAGACATAGTGACGATGACAGGCCCTGTGCCGCCTGCACTGACTCTGCTCCGGCCACCGAAGGTGCCTCCAACTTTCCGCGGTTTATCATTTGAAGATTCAGAAAGCTGGCTGCAAGCGTACAATCACGTCGCCGTTTTGGACACCTGGAGCAGTGAACACAAGCTCTGGAACATATACTTGGCCCTGCAGGACGTAGCCAAGACAGGATTTGAAAACCGACGGCTCGGCCAAATAAAAGCTCGTAATACTTGAGACCGTTTTCGTATCAAGTTACTGGCAACATTCACCTATGTCTGCAAAAAGATGGCCAAAGATATGCTCGAAACTCGCGTAGTTTCCGAAGGAAAACGTGGCTCTGTTCACGGAAAAATTGATAAAGTTCTTCCGCAACGATGATGGAGCCATGCCAGAATACCGGATAGTTCGCTTTCTCATTTGAGGAGTGAAAAAGAAACTCTTCGAGGGATTAGTATGGAATCCCCCAATCAGAAAAATTATAACTGTGCAATGCACTACTGTTGGCAGCCACGGATGGTAGCTGCATAGTCATGCCCCAGGGACTATTTGGTGACAAGGCCCTGGCCGCTGTAAAGAAGAAGTTTTGGATTTAGGATATAAAACCGCCAGGAGCAAGAAGAAAGTAGGGGCGTTGCTGGAAGATTTACAGCTCGACCAGTTAAAAAGGGAAGTGAAGAACAACAAGGTTCATTCACTCACCTTAGTCTTCAGTGCAAACGGCCATAAGGTGAACTGTCCTGTCCGAGCTATTGTCACGAAGCGTGGAACATGACAGGCTACTGTCAGCCGGTACCTGCCGAGGCGGCTTTCGGGGTTGACCCTGGAGGACCCGTACAAGGTCGCGATTTCACACCGACTGGTGGGGCTGCTCTAAGATAGTACACTAAAAGCGAATCCTGGGTTCTCGGTTGACATTGATAAGCTTTTCTACTTGATTCCCCACGAGGACCTTTTTAGCGCAGTACGCAAAGGTATTGAAAGTTCTGAAGCGGTCGCGTTCTAAAATTCAAGTGGTGTGTTGGTAGGACGATTCACGGAACTGCTGGAGACTTACCTTACCTCTGCGATTGTGAGTTTCCAGAAAAACTTTTTTTGTGCAAAATTAAGGCATATGCACAGGTTCTTGTGCGCCAGTGCTCGCTGAGATATATTTAGCAGATGTGAATTGTTCGTTGTCTGGTGTGCTTACTGACGATTGCACTGTTCGTGTCTGTAGATGCGTAGATGACTTTTTAATACTTGTAAAAACCGACTCGGACAATGACCTCGAAGAGATAGTGAAGTGTATTCTTCAGTGCTTTGATGTCACAACGACTAAGTTGAATTCTACTTTCGAAATGCCTGACAAAGATTGCAGTTTTTAAGTTTAAAGTACTTTTTTAATGACAGCAAACATGTGGGCTGGTCGTACTCACCCCACACGAACAGGGCTTTATTTCCTTTTGATTCCTCTCACTCGAAGCTTGTGAAGAGAGGCATAGTAATGTCATGCTTATGGTCTTCGTTTGCCAAGTCTTGTCACCACGAAGTCAAAGGCACTTTTTGTTCCTAAGTGAGTCATCTCAGTAATGCAAGTTTCCCGCTGACACTGCTTAGGCTGTAGCAGAGTCACTTTTAAGGATTGTATGCCATTGTACCACGGCCGCTGACGTTAACGCAAAGGCAAATGAGGGAAAAGAATCGGAAAGGAGTGAGAGGCGGAAGGTCGAAGTGATGCCTTACCTACACAAGGTATCACATGACATTAAAACGGTGGCAGGAAGATACGGGGTCGATTTGGTTTTTTCAACGCCTTACAAGTTATCACGTTTGTGCAGCATGTCTGATGCGAACAGAGTAAACAATGGACATTGCGATGTTGAGCTGAGACGTGCGTATGCACCCTGTAGGATGAGAGTGGTTAACGAGGTCCCCTTGACTTGTGAAATAATTTGTGCGGAGCAGACTGGAAGGTGTATTAATATGCGTTTGATAGAGCATGCTGATTCTATAGAAGACAGGTGAGGGAGGCCCCTACCAGTTCATTGTGGCGCATGCGTGCAGGAACGTAAGCCCATTTTCAGCAGTACCAAGGTGTTAGGATGAGCCAAGTGCCAAAATGTAAGAGAGACTTTGGGGGCATCTTGGATAGCTAGACACGGGCCTGATAAGTGCATTAGTGAATCATCTGTGTATATTTCCAGCAAGTAGCACGATTTCAGTTTTAGTTGATAGAAGTCTTGCAAATTTTCTCGTGGTATTGTTTGCCTTTCCACATGCGTTGAGTTCGCTCCAAAAACGGTGGCGTACTTTTGCAGTAAATAAGTTGTTAGTCTGCGATCACCCTGTCTATTTCGTTCTTGTGTCGCGGTTTCTGCGCGGTTATAAGTTTTATAAGTGTCTTACCAACTAGCCCCCCGTCATACGCTTCTAGAATCCACCAAACAGCATAGGAGAATTCCTGTCGGGAGCAACGACAGTTGAAAAGACGCTGGAAATGCGCACCCAACAGTGCAATCGTCGCCTGACTCCAAACTGCATATATCTTAAAGTCTGTGGCTCCGAATACCAGCGCGAACGCATCCGAGCCATCGTGTGAATGGAGCTATTGAAGCTGTCTTCGTTACAGCCAGGGGTAACGTCGATTGCTGAAATGGTACGTGAGGAGATACAGCAGTCACTTGTTCCTCAGCCAGCACTAACGCAGCCGCTGTCTATCAGCTACTATGCAGCAACCCACCGTAACGCTCTTCCGCCACGCCTACCGACGAGTGCTACGCCCCAATGAAAACCGACGTTTGGCGCGCCCCTGGCGACCGCCTACTGTGCTACCATTGCGGAGAAGCACGCCAAACCTACCGCCACTGCGAGTACCGCGAGATGGGAGTGCGCGGTATCGCTATCGACGCGCCGGCTCCTCAACGAGGTGAAAGACCGTTGGACATTGCCGACTAAATCGATGCAGCGCCCTGATGCCCCGAGGATTGTCGCGTTCGCCATCAACCGGCAGCTACATGTCACCGCATCGCAGGCAGTACACCTGCCTTGCTCGAGGCTGATCTCCGAGCCCCTACTAGACAAACTAATGACAGCCACCGATGGAGTTGCGGTTGCTGTACGACGAACCAGTGAAGGTCTTCTACCGACGTGGTTGATGACGCCGTGGCGTAATATGAATACTCTGCAAACAGCATGGAGACGAGAAGTAGAAGCTTCGCGGCCAGAAGACTAGACGACGCAACATAGAAGAAGCGAAACAAACGAATGTAGCCGTGATCCGACACCATGACCTAACTCTAATGCAAAGCGACGAACTTGCCACTTTGACGTTTTACTCGACGGCCACAACGTCTCCGCTCTCATTGATACAGGAGCGGACCAATCCC